TTGTTTTAAAACAATAAAATATAAACGTGTTGAAATAATGTCCTGATGCATCTCAGTAATCCAGGTAAAAAATCAAAAAGAAAAAAATTGTATAGGTCTTCAGGACAGGTTCTTCTTTAATGAAACGTTTCGTCTCTCCTCCAAGAGACTTCTTCAGTCTGAGAGTTTCAGGCAAAATTCAGGCTTTTAAGCCCTGCCTCCATGTGACTGATACTCACATCACATGGCTATCGTTGACACCGGCACTAAGTATATTTGAAGTTGTTCCATTTTAGTATTTAAAAGTATACTTTATACACTTAAAATTGTGCTTTTGTACAACTTAAATACAACTAAAGTATATTTAGTATTAAATTAGTTGTTCCGAAATAGCACTCTTTAAGTATACTGATGAGTAGTGCGGCTTCAAGTGTATTAAAGTACACTTAGATTTAGTATACTTAGTATAATATTTTTTCACCTAAGAAGATGCTGATGAATTTTAAATCAGCCGTTAACCAATAACTTTAATGCTCATTGTTGACCAATGGATGGAGGACAAAAATGGTGTTCTGTGTTTGTTTGTTTGTTAGCAAAATATCCCATGAATCACTAAATGTATGTCTCAGAAGTACATTAAGTGGATGAACATTTGGAGTCTAATTCAGCCAGTTTCACAGATTAAAACAAAAGATTTAACTCCGCCGCCCTTTAATTAAATTAACAATTACAAAGAGCTAATTAAAACTGGATAAAAAAAAGAGCAGAAACCCAGAAAGAACTGATTCAAACGACAACGGAGGAGAGACGGAGGCCGGTGAGTTCGAGCAACACGTGAGACATCTGCTGTTCAGACTAAAAGCTGCMGAGTGAGATTTAAGATCCAGTTTCTGTTTTCAGCCGCAGCCGTCTCCTTTATGGTGAGAGAAACTTGGCTCGGCTTTCTGTGCAGAAAACAGCAGCCTCTGCAGGACAAAAGCTCAGCAGCAGCAACAAACGACCAGCTGCGTGTCAAAAAAAAATCAGCTTTAAAAACAAACATAACTTTCAGAAAAGAAAAAAAAACTAGTTTGCATTTTTAATTAAATTCTTCCTGTTTGCATAATAAATCTCAAAACCAGTCACACAGTTTCAACTAAAGTTTCAAACTTGAAGGTTTTTTTGGAGACGCTGGATCTTACCTTATTTTAACAAATCATGAGAAATCCAATCGTCCTGACAGAAACAGCTGATAAAAACACAAATAAAACCTCTTTTTTTAAGAGAAGAACCTTGCATCAGAAAGCAGAGGGTGAGCAAGATCAGAGCGGAGTGTTTAGAAAGAGTGAAGAAGGGGGGAAAAAGGGGGGAGAAAGAGGAGTAAAAGCTGACGTATGGAGAGTTGTAACGAGCAAGAGGCCACACCGGAGCGGCAGGCAGACGTGTGAGGGAGGGGCTCCGAGCAGGAAGTGGATAATAGTCCAGTTGTAATGGTGTCTCTGAGGACATGTGTRCATGTTCCAACAGCCTGCACTTGTTTTCTTCACTCCTTTCACCAATAAAACACAATAAAACAGTCTGAGCTTCACGTGAACAATCACTGCAGGTCATAACGGTTCTAACACAACAGCTTCAGTGTGTTGATGTTAAACTGCTGTCGTTATTTAACAGATTTATGTGTGAAAGTTTGTGTTAAAAACACAGAACAAACCTGCAGTTAACATGATATCTATCTATCTATCTATCTATCTATCTATCTAT